CATAATATGCATGTAAGTTCATTGGTCAATCTCTTCTCCCCCAATCCTCTTACCTTTGAGATTTGTCAGTCTGTTCCATGCTTTCATGTCTCCGGGTCTATTTTATTTGTCAGTGTATTTTGTATAGGTACTTTATTTTTAAAGAGTATTTTGTATGAAAACTGTTCGAAGCCATATGTATTAATATAACCTACACCCTTAGATGAATTGTTTAATGTGGTTTTCTCTTTTCTTGCAAGTGTAGAACTAGTAGTTTCTGTGTTGATGTAACAGCAGGGAGTGCCTATTTCGGTGTGCTCATTCGTGGGAAATTTAGCCCTCTTGGAAAATGAACGAAGATCACAGCTAGAAGTATTCATCATGCAGTCTATCCACAAGACATCTTGAATGAAATCATCATTAAAGAACTTAAGTAAAACAGTTATTTCCTGATACTGTATCACCAAATGTACTCATTTAGGACATTATTATGCATGTACTAGTATTTTCTGTTTTTCATGGGATTGCCAACTATCTTAAAAAATGGGATGCTTCAGACTAATATTTTGGGGAGGCTGATATGATCTACTTGACCCCGATTTAACTTTAATAGTGGTAGTGGGTGTTCTTCATCATGGATCTGATTGTTATTAGGGTTTCTTCAGAGACTGTAATATAGCAAAAACATTGCATTGATTTGTCTTCACTTACCCTGCTTGAGCCGGGTTCAAATCAGTAGGTCTTTCCCAGTATGAATGGGAGGGCTTACTAGATCAGAGAGAGCCAGAGGCCTCAGGGTTTGGTGGGAGAGTTTCACATTTGTCCAAATGTGCCCCTCGACGCCCCTGTGCATGACCCAGTTCATTTTGTTCTTTAGATTCCACATATGAGTGAGGTCATGTGACATTTGTCTTTCTCTGACTGGCTCATTTCGCTTAGCATAATACTCTCCAGGTCCCCAAAAATTGGATTGCTGATTGGAAATGAGAAGATCTGACTTCTTCTTAGTAACTAGCCATTTTACCTCAGATAAGTTTCTTGTTTTTCTCTGGGCCTTAGTGTTCTTATCTGTCAAATGGTGCAGTGGCCTCTTATCTCTAAGATTCCTTAGATAGATTGTGAGGTTTTTTTAGAGAAGAACCATTTCATTCAACTTTGAATATCAACACCTTACCTGGGCAAAATATTTTTTCAACTAATTAGTTTGTAGCTGTGTCTGTTTATCACTGGAGTCGTAGTTATATCGTTATAGGTAATTATATAATAATTTTGAACATTTATAAATGGAAATTGTCTTTTGAAGTTTGTGCCCAAACAGTCCAATAAATGCCTTTATCTAAAAATTCATTCACAGGTACACATGTATGTGTGTGTATGTCTAGATCTAATGTATACAATTTTAAAGTGGGACAAAAATACGTATAAATGATCAAGGTGCAAGAATATGCATTTTTAAAAGATCTCTTGCTTTAAAATAATTTATTTATGTTTCATTACTTGGATATGATACTCAGAATAATTGGCCAACAGCAACAAAAATGTTGTTGGCAGCTTCCAGTTAAAAAAAAAACAACTCTAGAGAATTAGGGAAAAATAGTAATTAACAGGGTACTGTCAAGGTTGGTAGGTCTAAATTTAACATACCAGCTGTGTTTTGGTTTGTGGTGGGGGTGTGTGTGTCATGCTGTTCCCCCCCTGTGGTTTGCCTGCCTTGTTATGAGCCAGGAGCATGTATTGTGGAAATAGAGATAGTGCCTTCTGCATGCAGCCTCTAGAAGTGGCTGCTTGTGTGTGGCAGTGCCCTGCTGGCCGCAAGACCCTGTCAGTGTCTGGAGAAGTTTAAAGCTGCAGGTGGAGAATGCTAGGCTTTCCGCGTGGCTGTGGTCTGTGGTGAAGGAACTCTTCAAGTACATACCTTCTCTGTGCTGGAAACACTGAGGTTCATTGAATCTTAAGACGCCATTCATTATAAGATATACCATTGTTTTATGCTCTAAAAAGAAAG